GACTGGCTTCTTTCATCCAGCGTCTCTTTTCCAGGTTAGTGGGTGGTTGAGATTTGAATGGCTTTTAAATCTCTCTCTCCTCCATGGATTGCTTTGGCAGAATTCTTCACCTCGTGTCTCTTGAGGGTCTCTTTGGCCATGTCCATGACACCCACCAGCGTTCCTGTCTGGAGTTCTAGCCAGACACTGTTGGACACCCCAGAGGTGGGGTTTTAGGAATGGACTGGCGCATGGAAGTGCCGGCTTCACCGTCACCTGACCTGCCGATGGCTTAATGCACACTGGGAGGTGTAGAAATGAGAGGCAGGCGGGCATGACTGGAGGAAGCAGGTCACTGGAGTTTGCCCCTTGGGGACTGTCTCCTGTCCCTGGTCCCTTCTTTCCTTCTCTCCCTCCCTCCCTCTGACCCTCCCTCCCCCATTTCCTGGCAACCATAGCTGAAAGCTTGTCTGCACTGCACCCTTCTGCCATGGTGTTCTGCCTCCCTCAGGCCCAAGGCAGTGGAGCAGGGGGAGCCAAAATAGGAATTTCCTCCTTCTAAGTTGCTGGTGTCAGATACTTTGGTCTCAGCAACAAAAAGCTGATCAACACAAACATCTCCTGGGATCCCCAGGAGAAGCTCTGGCACTCCTGGTATTCTCAGGGTAGAAACCAGAAGCCCTCTGCTCATTTATCTTACAGAATCAGTGTCACCAAATACTCAAGTCTGTGCCCCATCTCTTATCTCTCCATTGCTAACTGGAACTTAGCACTTTCAGTTCTTAACAAGCCTTGGAAGGGTTGGATTTAGGAACAGTTACCTTAAAATCTAAAAGGTCTTTATGTTTTGAGTGGGGCCTACGCATATAGAAACTAGTACTTCCAATCTTTGTCCAAACATCTTCAAAGGCAGTTCTGGTAGATGTGTCTCTGTCACCTTCTCGTCCTGTTTTCTGTAATACCCTAAGAGACTCGGCCATTGGGTAAAGATAGGAATGAGTGAGTCTTGTAGGAAGCAAGAGTGATAATAATGCCACCCCTTACCAATCGCATGACTCTGGGCAAGGAGCCAAGCTTCTTTGAGTCTCAGTGTCCTTATCAGTAAAATAGGAATGACATCACCACTCTCACCTACTGGGGGGGGGTGAAATGAAAGTATGTTGGGACTCAACCACAAGAGCAGTGACTCCCACTCCCACTCCCACCAGTGATGTGTGTTGAGCAAGGATATGTCAAGGTGCTCCTAACACTTATAATCTATTATCACTCTGACCTGTCCCAATACCCTGGCTAGGTTGCAACATATTATAGCTCTCTCTTCATAGATGAAGAAAAATGGTTCCAACTGGTTAAATGACTTTCCCCAAACCTCACAGCTGGTGAGTGGCAGGATTTGTGTTAAAACTAGGTTTGCTGGCTACAAAGAAGGTGTCCCCAACACTGTGGCTATTAACTGCTAACAAAACAGAGAAAGCCAGACCCAAGAACTTCAAGAAAAAGACATTTTTCATCCAGAAGCCAGAAATCCATCTTTTAAAAGTCATGCAAACACTGTAAAATTCAAAATAGGCAATTTCACATTTTTATGGCTCTGTTTGAAATGAGACAATATCAGGTACATGGTTTAAATGCTGTGTAAGGACTAGAGACAAAGTCTAGACATCTGGTATACCAGCTCCAACATGTCGCTGAGGTGCACCCAGCTACCCTACAGGACCAAATGAAATTTTAGGAAGAGATGCCATAAAATTCCTCTTTAAAAGGGCTTCCAGAACATAACCTCTCGTTCCTGCAACAGTCTTGTGACATCTCAGACAAAGTCTTTCGTCTGCTCAGCAACCAGTGCTGGTACTTGCCCAGTTTCTTGTCCTTGGAATCTTGCAAAGTCAGTATAATTTGAATTTTTATAAATCAAATCCTATTTCAAATGCAATTGAAGAACTTGCACTTTAAAAGAATCCCGTCTTGAATCCTCCAGAAAATGGGAGACTCCTGTTGAAACTGAATAGCTAATCCTGAAAATATCCATTTTGCAAATTCGGAATTTGGTTTACAAGCTTTGTGAAAACAACCTTTAAACTTCTGAAGCCAATTTGAAATTCAAGTTTGTGGCTGGGTCTTCTGGGCACTCCTTATCACCTCTGCTGGTAAGCATTTAAATGTATTCATTAACAAAAATAATTGTTGTCACAGTTAACTACATTAGCACCTTTTAATTGAATTAGAAATTAGATGAGGGTCATGAATATTTCACTAGGCCTCACCGCTAGCCTTCCCAATTCCCATCTTTAAAAAAAAAAAAAAAAACACCCTTGAACAGAATAAACAGGTGGATTTGAAATGTTCATGGTCTTGGCTTTTCTCAGAGTCTTGTCACAAAAGTCATCTCATGGTCAAAAATGAATCAAAAATGAATTTTTAACTTTCAAGCTGTTCTCCTGTGCTTCCAGGCATGAGGCAAGGCGTTCTCTGTTCTTAGGAAACTTTAAATAAACATTTACTCAACACAACCCAGAAACCTGCAAACCTACCGCATGCTGAGGCGGTAAAGAGCCCAGGGCAGAATGTCAGCAGCGGGGGCTTCTGAAGCCGAGGTCAGGGTGCTGCACCACAACTGGCAGTGGGCCAAAACATTCCAGAGAGATGGGTCCATCCTGTGCCTCCTGAGATGTGGAGCAGCACCCCGACCTGTCCCTCAGAGATATCAGTAGCACACGTACTCCACCCAGATGTAACAAAACAATCACCCAGGGTGGGGACAGGGGAACTGCGAGAGTTGAGAATCACTGGGAATAACATGGGTCCAGTTACCATCCCTGTCAGTCTCTCATGTTTGACCCTCTCTAGCCTTACCGTCGGGACATAGAAACAATCATGCCTTCTGGGCCCAGTAGTGCAGGCCTGAAATCTCAGCAGCTTGGGAGGCTGAGGCAGGAGGATCTCGAGTTCAAAGCCAGCCTCAGCCACAGAGAGGCGTGGAGCAACTCAGGGAGACCCTGTCTCTAAATAAAATACAAAATAGGGCTGGGGATGGGGCTCAGTGGCCAAGTGCCCCCGAGTTCAATCCCCAGTACCACCCCCCCCCCAAAAAAAAGCAACAATCAGACCTATTTCAGTGTGTTGCAGAAGACTTAGATACTGCTGGGTACACGAGGGTGTGCGTGAGTGCTCAGAGTCCTTAGTTGGGTGGCAGTTTGTGTGGCAGTAGGTGGCATCAGCAGCAGCAGCAGGAGCAGAACCTGCATCAGGACCTGAGGGAGGAGGGAGGAAGGGCTGATGGCTTCCCCTTCTCTCTCCCCCACTCCCTCGTCCACAGTAGAAGCTGGACCCTATGTGTCCTCCTTGCCTGGGGACAGCGCCAGGAGCACCATCAACACAGCGGTAGCCCTTCTTCAGCCCTTCTGAATTTTTAAGCTAGTCTGACCACCTGTTTTGGAAGAGCATGGCCCCCACGTGTGGAAACTGGACCCCAAAGGATCCCACAGTGAGACCAGAGAAAGAGGTAGACAGCCCCAGGCGTGCACAAGGTGTGATTTCCTGGGGACTTGGCAGGAATGTGCCTTGGGAGGCAGTGAGACAGGTGGATTCCTGCACATCAAGGAAGGACGAAGGGCTTTATATGCAAAAGGAGCAGAGATGGGCTGGGGCCAACCACAGGGTACCTGGCCATTCTTGAAAGCCATGAGCATGCTTAACAGGCTGGGCACGTGCAGAAGTCACTCAGTGACAGTCTCGGTGACTTCACTTGTCCTGTAGGGCTTTGGATACATGCCAGGGTCACCAAGACGGCTGTAGTCATGTAGAGCCAAATCCCTACACCTCTCTGCATGACAGACGTCTGGGCAACCCGGGGTCTCTTCCCAGTAGAGGATTTGAGACAGCATAGTGGGGTCAAAAATAAAACTGGGACTTGGAGTCTGGGGAATCCAAATTCCAAACTTGACTTTTGATTCCTGAAGGTCTTGAGCCTCGGCTTCTTAGCTTTGAAATGAAGTCACTGAGAATTATCCCATAGGCTGATTCCAAGGATTAAATGGGATAATGCATACAGAAGGCCCTAACGCAGTGCTTAACACACAGTAGTAGGTGCTGGGAATCATTATGGTGAAGGACACGGCAGGGCTGCTTGGCCTTGGTGCCATGGACATTTTGGTCTGGATCATTCTTGGTGAGGGAGAGGCTTCCCTCTGCATTGAAGGACAGTAGCCCCGTCCCTGGGCTTGGGACAACTGGGGATACTTCCAAATGTCCCCTGGAGAACAAACTGATCTACAGGAAATGGGTTCCCTCCTTGTGTGGTCACCACAACCTGGAGTAACGTCACCTTACCCAGGAAGAGTGCCTGCCTCCCTTCTGCAGAACTTGCCCCTCTCCTAGTGGCCACACAACTGTGTGTGTGCTCATGTGATCTGCCGCCCACCCGGGAGCCCCTCGGGGTCTGCAATGGGCAGAGAGTGGAGGGGAGTAGACTGAGCAAAGTAGGTATAAATGAAGTAACCCCTACTTACTGAGCACCTACTGTCTACCAGCACTAATGCTAACCTGCCTGCAAGCACGGTTTCCTTCTTCTGCCCAATGGTCATAAAGTCTGTGCCATCGTGTCCCTTTGCCAGACAATGACAGACGCTTAGAGAGAGACGTTGAATAAAGATATGAGTAAGTGTGTGAACGGACTCAGGGTCTGACCCCGGGTCTGATGCCCCCGACCTCTCCCGTCCACCCGTCATCTCTTGAGAGCAGAGCATGAGGCATCTTCTCTCTTCCTGGGCTGCACTCAGGAGGCTTCCCACCCTCTGGCTGCAAAGAAGGGCTTTCCGGAATGAGATCAGGAAATGGGTGGGGCTTGCCCCAGGTCAGGCTGTGAGTGGAAACCGCTGACCTGCTGGAAGGAACAATCCATTCTGGACCCAAAGAGGTAGCAGTGAACATTTTTCACTCTTACTATAAAGGTCAGATTGGAGGCAGCAGGACCCGCAGTGAGACCTTTTGGTAATTTCGGAAAGTTCAGCCTGCAGCTGGAGGGCAAAGCTGAGCCCAGTCCCCGCATCAGCCGGGCACCTCCCGCCACCACCAGCCACTCCCCAGCTGGTACCACACGCCTCCGTCGCTGAGTACCCATGAAGGGCCCAGCTCCTGGGCAAGGACACCCCCATCCCAGCCTTTACCACCCCCAGTGCAGCTGTTTTCCACTGTTTCCCAGATTCTGAGAACCGCTGTAAACAGGTGGAGGGTCACACAGAAGTGGGCAGCAGACTCTGAAAGGTTAACATCTTCTTTCTTCCAGTTGCCGCAGTTGCTATGGATATTTCCTCCAGGAGGCTGCGTGAGTTCCACATGAAGAGGCTGAAATTAATAAACTCCTTTGAACTCAGAGGACACCACCCAGGCTGAGCTGCAAATGCTGCCACCTGTTTATTTCTGGCTCAGACGGGGGCCAGCCGTGCAGGTGTGCGTGCCCGGGGCAGCTGGGGGCTACCTGTGGGTTTGCTGAGTTTCCGTGGCACATGTGGATCTCTGTCTGGTCTGCACATCTGCGTGAAGGAGGGTCAGGAGAGGACTCGGCTGTCTGCGGATCCCTAAGGGCAAAGATTTATTTGATAGTTTCCCCAACTAGACAGCACGACACCGAGGATCAAGGGCTGCTTTTATCCACCTCTGCAATCCCAGCAGCACCAGCGCTGTGTGCGGGGGCTGCTCAGCCACTGTTCCCTCAAAGATGCACCTGTTCCCTTAACAAATGCCCTGCCATGGGCCTGGCTACGTGTGGTGGTGGCCACTGCCACAGTAAACAAGCGGGAGTCCCCCCCATCAGGGAGCCGGGGGTCTCAGGGGAGATGGAGACGGATGGATGAAGAAATCCCCAAATAGGAGGTTACGCAAGTCCCTTCTGGTGGCTGACGGTGCATGGGACTATTTATAGACAGACAAAAGAACAAATGGAAAAACCAAGTGTCGTGTGTGCGGGAGGAGGTATCAGAAGACAAAGAATGCTGGCCCTGGCGTGGCACCTGGGGACTCCTGTCCTGCTGCTGCTGCTGATCAGTGACGAGTCCCTGCTCACCCACGCCCTCAGCTTGCTCCTTCACTGAGTAAAGGTCTGTGCACACCTGCCCAGGGTTGCATGCTCCCCGGGCCCTGGGGACACAGCAGGAGCATGGGCGAGTCGGCAAGCCACTTGCAGGCGCCCTGTACCCTGACGGGAAAGCCGCAGGTGGTGGAATGAGACTTCCTTTGGGATTTGTGGAACCACACAGGAAAATCGATGTTCTAACCCAATTGCTTTTATAGATAATGTATCATCTCAGAAAGGTTTTAATTAAAGGGTAGCCTCTAAGAAGGCGTCTCCAAGCCTTGCAGATCTGGATGCTCTGTCCCCACAGAGCACAGGGGGTGCATAAACTGGGGGCAGCTTGATGAGCAGAGAAGCCCTCCGCCCCATCCCCCAGTTGCTGTCTTACCGACCTGCCTTCTTGAAAATTCATGACAGAAGAGTTAATTTAGGAAATGCTATTAATAAATGACTACTCTAGAAAATTATCCAAACATTGGGAGTCAAAAATAGAGCTGAAAGTAAAACACATGTTTTGCCCAAGAGACTAAAAAAATACATGTTTAAATCACAAGATTTAGTTGTGACAAAGATCCAGTATCCCGGGCACATTGCTGATGGGAGTTTAAATCGGTGCATTTTTTTTTGAAGGGTATTTGAACCACGTGTCTCTGGAACCTTCCACTAGATACACCTTTGGATTCAGCATTTCTACTTCTAGGAATTTAGCCAAAGAAAATAATCACTCAGATGGGAGGTTAAATATAAAAAATGCTCATCGAAGCACTGTTTATAAAATGAGATGCTTGTTATGATGGTCTGGTCTCTTTTCTATAATTGGTCTCTAAAGACTGAGAACAAAAGTGAGCGAGCATCTCACACTTTAAATACTGTGGCCACTGATTTGGGGCCAGCTTCATCTTGTAAAGTTTAGGGGCAGTGGTGCATGGCTGAATGCTCAGTGATCAGCTCTCGGGTGGGGGGAATGGAGGCGATTTGTGAGACAATGCCAATTTCCATGGTGTAAATATTCCCACCGGGGCTGATTTTGAACTTGCAGTGTGCGGCCACTGAATATGGAGTTTGCAAGAGATGCCAAGAGTTGGCTCAGGAGTGAGTCACACCATGGGTTAGAAGGACACTGAGCAGACCCAACACAGGTTGGTGAAGAAAGACGCCCCCTCTCTCCTCTCACCTCCCCAGAGACTCTACTCCTTGTGGCCGTGAGGGAGACAAAGGAAGCACCCCGCAGACAGGGGGACCAGCCTTCCTGCCCACTTGCTGGCCAGCCCCGGAGCTACTGAGCTAGACGGATGCTCTGGCCATGCAGACCAACCAGGGCAGAGAGGAGGCCTCAAGTTTCAGCTTCCCCAGGAGAACGGCAGACGTGGGGAGCATCCTCAGGAGTACATGAGCTGGGAGTTTCCAAGTGACCAAGACGGAGGCGCGAGAACCAAGAGGGGACTTGCAATTGCCCAGTGTGTCTGTCTGATCAGGGTTACAGATCTCCTGGGGAAGCCCAGGGGGAAGGGCAGAGGGCACTCTCAGGGCAAGGTTAGGAGCAGTTGTTGGGAAAGTCAGGAACTTGAGGCTTGTCAATTGAATGGGCCAAAATTTTGCAGTAGCCTAAATATTGATAAAAGGGAATTGAAAACAACGTAGTTCATCCATTTAATGGAATAGCCTGCAGCAGATCAAGGGTGTTAACACCCAGTGTGTGTGTGTGTGTGTGTGAGAGAGAGAGGGGGGGGGCGGTGGAGAGAGAGCGAGATGGAGCAGGAACTTATTCAAGTAGCACAGTGATCTCTGGTATAGCATATGCCTCTGTTTTTTAAAATTCTATATTGCCATTTTAACTACACAGTTAATAACTCTAACTTAAAAAAAAATGCCTCTCCTTCTGGTCTACTCTGCCCACTATATACTTTTCCTACCTGAGTCACAAACATGGAAATAGGACAATGATAATGGTAAGGGGAATAAAGAGTGATTCACAAGTCATCACGTACAATGTGATCGTACTTCTGAACAAGAATGAGAAGGACTATAATCACATGCACAGAAATAATGTCTGGAGAGACACATGTTGAGATTCGAAGGTGGTTTTCTGGGTGGGATACGGACATGATTTGATCCTTCACTCAGCTGTGCCACTGTTGGATAAATATTTATTAACTTTTACCCTATATTAGAGATACCCTCTAGACACTCTTAGCTTCCTGTTGTATACAGTATTTTGTTCTGGGTCTTTTCACTGGCAATTGGTATGCATCTTTTTAAAAAAATTTAAAAAGTCAGTGTGGGGAAAATAGAAGCTTTTCCTGTTGAAAAATGAGATACTTAGCACACAGTACTTAGGACTCGGTGGTTGTGTGGTAATGGTGGTCATTATTTTATATTTCTGTGACTCTTGGATTTTTCTTGGCTATAGCTTCTTGGCCAGTTGTTATAGCAAGAAAGAGAGCTAGCAGTACTTAAGTAACATTTATTATGTGCTGAAGAGTGTGTGGATTCAACCAGCTGCAGGTTGAAAATATCCAGAAATAGTCCATCTGCAGTGAACATTATAAGATTTTTTTTGGTCATTAGTCTCTAAAGGAAACAGAATAAAAACTATTTCTGAGCATTTGCATTGTGCTCAGTATTGCAAGTAACCTAGAGATGATTTAAAGCACAAAACCAGGATCTGTGAGTGCAAACACGGCACCACTTTTATACAGGGGACGTGAGCATCCACAGATTTTGGTATGCAGGGGGACCTGCAACCAATCCTCCCATAAATAGATGCTAAGAGGCAACTCTACTTATTTGGTTCCTACAATCACTCCACCAGTTAACCGGCATTTCCATGTCATATACCAGCAAACAAGCAGAAAGAGAGGCCCTGCAGAACCCCCGTCTCAGTCCCCACAGCCTGTCCTGGGCGAAGGCAATCTCCCTCACCGGCTCTGTCCCAGGAACTGCTCTGATGGGAGCAGAGAGGCACCGTGGCCCTGACCAGAGACGGATCGGGAGGAAGTGGCCTGGGTTACTGCAGGTGACTCAGCCAGTCAGAGGCAGTGTAATGCAGACAAATTCGAGATAATAAGTCTGAAGGCAATGAACCGAAAGCCAGGGCGAACACATCCTAAATAAAAACTCATGAGTCCCTGCAGCCTGCAAAGGGATTTAGAGGTTACTGTTTTAAAAAATAAAAAGCAGCCTTGAAGTTGTCGGCTCCTGGTACAGCCAGAGCTGACTCGGGAGTCGGGCTGCTGGGTCAGCGCATGCCGTCCTCACCACCCATGGGAGCTGTCAGGGCCAGGCTGGGAGCAGGAGCCCCTTTCTGAGCGGAGGTGTTGGCGGTGTGGAATTCCAATCCTGTGTCCAAAGCAAGTTGCTGAGGAGGGACGACAGGGACGAGCTGTCTCTGTGCTAGGGACAGTCCAACGGGAGGTGGTGGAGGGTGTGAGATGAGCTCCAGGTCCTCAGAGTAAGGGGTCTGGGGGGGTGGGCTGTAGACCCGGGGAGGAAGGGGAGGCAGGCAGGGATTGCAGGTGAGGATCTGTGAATGCAAACACAGCACCACTTCACACCGGGGACGGGAACGGCCTACACGGGGAGGGCTGGGATTGGGAGGATCTGGCCAAGAGGACAGACACCACAGAAGGACAGTCTACTGAGACAGCAGCGCCGTGTCTACACATCCACCCGAGACTCACGTGTGTCAAGCTGCCATGTTGGGATGCCCCGTGGGCTGGTGAAGAGAGGACACCGGAGCCCCGAACAGACCTGGGCTTGGACAGTGTCCTCCGATCCAAGTCCCGCGTCTGCTTGAGCAAGTGGCTTCACGCTCTGAGCCTCTTCCTGCTCCTCTCCCAAACGTGGAGGTGACATGGGGCTGAGAAGAGAAGTTCTCTGCCCCTGAGCAGAACCTTCTCCAGCCCCCGGGGACCACAGAGGCACCTGAGCTCTGCTGCAGACCTGGGGGAGGGCTGGATGGGAGGCGACCTGGGGATGTTGTCGTAAAGCAGAGGACCAGGGACGAAGCCCTCTGTGGCGGGGGAGAAGATGAGCCTGTGACGGTCCCGACCGAACCCAGGAGCCGGCTCTAAGCCCAAAGAGCACGCCCAGAGCAGCGGGGAGGACCAATTCAGCCTTGGCACGTGGGAGGTCAGTGCTGCTCCCCACTGGACAGAGGAGAACGACGCAGAGGGCTACGTGACCTCCCTGGGGTCACGCAGCCAGCACAGCGAGGGTTCCAACCAGAGTCGCCAGGTCACGTGCTATGGACAGACACCCTCCTTGACCTGACCCCGCTCTGGCTCCTCAGAGTCCTCTGACCAGACCTTGACCTTGGTCTCTGTCCTCCCTCCAGGCCCCTCTATCCCAGTTTCCACAGGAATCCCACTGAGTCCGTTTAGGGGAGATCCGAGCTCAGGATCTGCTCACTGGGCCGTCTTCAGAAAAACTCTTGTTAGGTCAATTGATCAAAGAATCACTCGACCCCTTAGCCCACCTCCGCCTCTCTCTGGCCCTCAGTTCTGAATTCCCACTCCTCCTCACTGAACTTGAAGCTGAGCTTGCTCTCTTACTGCCAAGTCCCTGGAACAAGTGTCAATTTCTTTAACACGGCCGACCACTACACAGCGCTCCGTGCGAGACGAACATCACACCCGGCACAGCAGCTTCAGCACAGCTGCCCCACACGGGGACCCCACACAGCATTGCCCTGGGTCACTTCCAGCAGGGCATCAAGCGAAGAGAGGGGAGAGGGCAGGTCTCCATGCCGCCCTGGACCGTAAGTTACCTGGAGCACTGGAAGACTTGCCGTGACGGCCACCAAAGTAGGGAGCCTCTGAGCCCAGGGGGCCACAGAGCCACCAGCCGAGAAGAGCGGAGTGCAGGGGTGATCAGTGCCCAGCAGGACAGCCAGGGCACTGGAAAGCTACGGCAGGACCCCTTAGGCAATCCTCAATGACCTCTGAGAATCCATCTCCCTGCAGAGACTCTGCAGGAGCCAGGACTTCCGGGCTGAGCCCGTGAGGCCAGGGGTTGCTGGGGTGT